TGGCTTCCGGTAAAGGCCTTCTCTACTACGCGGGTTCACATCCCGCCGAACGTCTTGAGTTTTTCACAATTGGGTCAAATTACTTTAAACTGAAAAATAACGGCTGTCGCAATTGCCCGAAACATCAACGTACAAAGAAACACATTCCATTGAGCACAACATGATGTCTGATTCTAATCCCGGAATTCACACTTTTGCAAACTTGAGAACACATAAATACTGCCGTAGACAGGAGGGATGGTGTGGTGCGTCGCATCAACGACTGGTTGATAGGCTTGGCCAGTCGACTGGTCCATGAAAGGGGGAAGTAAGAGTTTTGCCGGCACTGGAGGCTCCGCCTTCATGACACATTGGTGCCTTCCCCTCTACTGTAGTACATCTGACGCTCTTGAATTTGTCACAAGGGGCTGAGACTTGCGAGTTATAGGGTTGCCAACAGACGGAATAACTTGGCCCTTTTCAGGACTGAACGTCAGGCTGCAATGATCCCTTCTCAATACGACCTTTATGATACTCTTCTACATGTGAACTCCGAGTCGCTCTTACAGAGGCCTGACACACGCAGTCGGATGCAAGCTCGTGTGCGGCACGTGTAGATGGGCTGTTTAACTTTGTCATCCCACGGGAGCCTAGTAGGTGAGTGTTAGGACGGCCCAGCACACGAGCCACCACCCTTGTCACCCTGAGGTCACACCGGACAAAGGAGCGCGAACAGAGGTAAGCGCACGGTCACAAAGAACTGTGACCACGGTAGGAACGCCGTCGAATTATACACGTCCTTGAGAGGTCAACCCGCATCCGATGACCGCCCAGATGGTCCAATAAGAAGAAACAAAGCGGGCACGGACCGATTGCCTTTAAATGCGAGAGCAGACACGGGGGGGTGGGACTTGCAGCAGACAAGAACGCCTTGACGCAACCACAGAAGTCTTGCTGACGGACACGGGACAAGTCGAGTGACATGCGCAGAGTTGATGTTTACGCAGGAACTGTGACAGAAAAGTATTCTTTGCCATCCTAACCCACACATACAACTGGGGGACACAACATTGAGGGTGGAGAAGGAGTTCGATTAGTACAACGAAAGTCGCTGCTGCAACAACCACTCAGTCACCTTGTATCTATAAACCCCTTCTCAAGAACCGGTTCTCGGCACGTGGTGTAATGCTTAAGTGTGACAGCAGCATTATCAACCAACATGCCGATGTCCATTTTCAATCGTCGGTGGCAGCGGCTGCTATCGCAAATTTAACAGACATAGGCCTGTGGTGTAGGCAGTGCATTTTCTTTGGTTAAGGGGACCAGGATGCTTGAGTTAGGCACACAGCCTTGTAATATGCGCTACCTCACCGCTACCGCGCTACCAGCGGTCAATCTCACGGGCAGTCAGCAGCAAACAAGCAGGTCAGAGTTCGTGCGCCGGACACGGATATATTAACAGGCATGCAGCAAGGCTGAAACGGTCCCGGCAAACAGGAGCAGCCACCAAGTTATTCTGACGATGGAAACAAGCGAGTGTCCGAAATGTCAGTCCCAATATAACTCGGTCCATGTCCTTGAACCTTCTTCTTTGTCTTCTTTGGGGGGTGCGGAAAACTATAGGATGGCCTTGTCTACTCCAGCGTTTAGCCTAAGCTCCTCTCGCGTCGTCTTTTTACTGCCGATAGTTTGTATTTCTCATGAATAGTAGAGGTCTCGTCCCTGGACTTGTTCACGGACCACTCACTGACTTACTAAATTGACTTTCATTTCTTAGGCTTTACGCTGCTAGCCTGAGTAGAAGGAGTCACTGAAGCACTTACTCCTTTTTTCGATTTGAGGCTGGATTTCGCCAGCATTACTTTGATCGACTATGTTCGCCGCCCGCTTGACCTGCATCTTCCGCTATACACTGCCAAATGCAGTCCGACTAATTTAGTCTGGTACTCGATTCTCCGTTCACATCCCCATTCTAATTCTACTTTTATCCTTCATTAAGCTTCCTCTTTCCTGGGTAAACCACTATTCCTAGATTAGATTTGGATTGCTCTGCTGCCAGGAATATGGTTTTCATGAGGATTTGGAGAATTGTGAGTACGGGCGTGTCTCCAACAGCCGCTCGGATTGCTTTGGCTCAATAACCTAACCACAGGGAAGAGGTGGCAAGCGAAGTTTTTTAATGGTGGTTCACAATGTCACAGTGCCGTCGTCAGGCCTCTGGCGTGCCAGACCTCAGCCGTCTGCATCCTGGTAGCGCTGTTGCTGCTGGTTCGTGACTGCTTATCCGCTGTATCCGGGAGTCTGCTTATTTCACAGCTAACCCTCTCTGAAGGCCGTTTCACTATCCGCCACCTGTGAACGTGTCGTGCAGTCAGCAACTACAAACCGTCTTCCCATAAACGCTGGGAAGGCCAATGTGCTTTCATGTGGCATATCTGCCCAAGAGAAGGCATTTCTCGAGATTGGCGGCTGCAAACTTGGAGAAGTAAGCAGTTTCAGGCCCCTCGGAGCGAGGTTGCTACCGAATGGACAGAGAAAGGATAGCATTGTCTCTTGAATCGATACAGCTCGTCGAGTTTTCTCAATCCTTAGAAAGTGTCTATGGAACCGACGGGATATCTTTATTGCCACGAAGGTTCGCATGTACCGTGCATCCGTTCGGTCTTTCCTTCTGAATTGCCCTGAATGCTGGGCTATGCACACGAAAGATGAAAGCAAACTGGAGGTATTTGACCACTACTGCTTAAGGACCATCCTTTGAATGAGGTACACCGACTTCCTCTCAAACGAGACAGTCCGTGTTCGTTGTGACAACATCACAAGGATATCCCAGGCCACCCAAAAAAATGGTTAAGATGGTTTGGACACGTTCTTCTTGGTACACCTCGCGAGGCCAGTTTTACTGTCCTCGATCCAACGCCGTGACCCAATTGGAGACGTCAAAGTGGGAATCAGCTTAAAACCTATCTCGACTCACGTCCGTCAGGACATGGATGTGGTTCTTGGATCTAAACTATCCGGCCTCTGGCGTTGGCTAAGAAAATGAATTCAACTGTCCACAGTTCGTCACGCGTGCAGAGGCGCCATCCAGGACATAGTCGAGGCCGGCTAGATCAGACATGATCGCAAACTTAACAAATAAAAATAAGTACTCTAGGGCTTCTGTCAGGTGCCGTGTGACTCGTAGTCTTTTGTTAGCGTCTTTTGTTCTGACTAGCTCATTCTTTTCGCAGTCATCATTTTTCCAATCTCGCGTTGTTGTTCCAGAGGAGAGTGATCTTGTTGGCCGCGGAGGGCTTGAGGCTCGGCATCCTGCAATGATCCGTACGGAGCAGCCCTACGAATCCGACAGTGCCTCCCTAATGAGTGACTTATCTTTCTCCAGACTCGCCGAGCGCAGCACGTTGACCCATGGGGTTCCCTTGTTTACGGACCCTCAGAGGGCTCCCCCGGCACTGCTCAATAACTTATCTTCCAACATGGAGGGCCTCTCGGGTTTGGGTGAGCCATCACTTCTCTCCTCCATTCCTCCTCCTCCTCCTCCTCATCATCATCATCGCCATCATGCTCATCATCATCATCATCCTGCTCCTGGGTTTCGGGCATTGTTATATCTTTGTCTTAGAAAGCAAGTATTTCATCCTTTAAGCTCCTTCATCGCAGCTGGATTACACACTTGCTGAACCAAAGGAAAGCTATTGTAACGTTGTCCCATAATTGTGTCAAGTGCCTCAGCATGAAGCAGTTGTTGAATCAGGCAGGAATAGTCGGTGGAAACGAGCAACTGCCTCTCTGACAAGTCCCCTTAAGGTGTTTCCGTAAGCCTCTAGGTACAGATAGAAGCGCAAAGGCGAGCTTCAGGAAAGAGTTCAGAAGAACAGCTAGCGATCGTTGGAACATTACGTTTATTGGTTTGACATTTCGGTTTCTCATCTATTGCTATAGCAGGAGACGTCTAGAGTTATTTATGCTGCATCTGATGCAATCGCGGACAAAGTAACAACGTCGGAGAGGGTGGAAGGCTGCTGTCAAGGTCCGAGGAATGTGGCCTGAAGCAGAGGGGAATGAGTGAGTTCCGTTAGCGGTCGGTGAACTTGCATCAACGGGTTTGTTTAGTTTTGCCAGCAGCTACGTCAATATCCACCACCCCCGTTCTTTCTGAATTTGTTTTACCATTTAAACAAAGCGGATGACAGAGAAAAAGAGAGAGTGCGTGGTAGGTATAGTGAATGTCAACTTTATTGTCAGCAAGTGCAATTGTAATTCCCTGCCACATAAACCCCGTGAAGTAGAGATGGATTGCGTCTTCAATAGCCGCAAAGT